GAATCTGTCAAAGTCTAGGAATAGTAATGCAATTGAAGAGTCGTTTTAGAATCTGTCAAATTCTACCTATAGTAGTACAAAGAAATAGTCGCTTTAAAATCCAAAAGTAGTAGTGCAAATAGAAAGTTGTTCAACATCAGTCAAGTCGAGTAACAGAAGTGCCAATCAAAAGTCTTTCAAATATTTGTGAAAGTTTCACAGTGGTAGTGCAGATAAAAATTAGTTTTAGAATTTGTAAGTCTTGTCATAGTAGTGCATATTGAAAAGTCGTTTCAAAGTCTAGAAATAGTAGTGCGATTAAAAGGTCGTTTAAGAGTTTGGCAATGTCTAGTAATGGTAGTGCAGTTGAAAAGTCGTTTTATTATCTGTCAAAGTCTAACAGTAGTAGTACAAATTAAGAATCGTGTCATAATCTTTCAAAGTCTCTCAATAGAAGTGCAATCAAACATTCGCTACAAAATCTAACAGTAGTAGTGCAAATAGAAAGTTGCTCTGCATCAGTCAAAGTCTAGTAATAGAAGTGCAAATCAAAAGTCGTTCAAAAATTTGTTTAAGTCTAGCAGTAGTAGTGCGAGAGAAAAGCATGTCAAAATGTAGAGGTAAAAGTGCAAGTGAAAAGTCGTTCTGTAATCTGTCAGTTTCATTTCACTTAATTTAATCTAATGAAGAGAATTATTGTGTAGCTGCAGTGTTAGTGAGAGGACGGACACCAGAGGCAATTCGATTTCAGTCACAGTCTCAACTCCAAAGTTTATTCAATTTTTGTATTTGTATTTTTAAATGTCTTGAACTTCCTCCTTGTCAGGGTTGAAACCTTAAAGAGATCGAAAACAGATATTCAATTTTAAAAGATCACCACAACAATTGCATTGAGAGTTTAAACCACAAACCTTACATACATGAGATCTAATACTTGAAATTTTTGTTGAGAACGCAAATTAAATGTTTTATGCTAATTCTAGTTTGCACGCTTTCCTTTTGGTCCCTTTGAATAAAACTCATATGCAAGAATCGCTTGCTTCGAGTTTTATCCTTGAGTGGCAAGAAATATTGGGACTGGAAAAGCTTACCTCGAAATCAAAGTGCATTTTTTTAGAGGAGAGCAAGTCGATAATAGAACTGCATATCAAAATGTTTTCTACACAGGTAGAAATCTGAATCAAGCGCATGTCAAACATTCTCACGAGGGTGATACATGTACTAGGTGAACCTATTGTTTTTATGAACAATGGGAGCGAACCTACTTCTAGTGTAATTTTGCCAATTTCTCTTACCAAAAGCCTCTGTGGTCTAGCGGTAGTGCACATTTAACAATTAAAATTAAACGGCGGCTGGATTCCCCCCAGCCGTCGTTTAATTTAATTGTTAAAGCACATCGGAGGGGCTCAGGCCCCCCTGATCCGATTTCCTTTTAATCTTTAAAGAAAAATTTTAGTTATTTTAAGATCTCCGAGAATTTTTTCTAGGGATTTTCTTTTTTGAGAGAAAAAATTTCCCGGAAAAACTTCTCGGAGATCTCAAAATTAGACAGATTCTGATTTAGAGAGTAAAATAAAATTTACGTCTGAAAATAAAAAATGATGGTGAATGGCCGTCGTGCCATGCCCTGAAGACATGCGCAAACCACGGGAACACAAAGCCAAACAATTAACAAACGTAAATGGGAATTCCACAACAAGAACTGGAGAACGAGAGGAGGTTTGTATATATCTGGTAAAAAGTGCACCGTAAAAACATCATTTGTAAACTTAGAAAATATGAAACAAACCTATAATCCTAAGTAATGTTGGCACCTTAAAAAACAATAATGGAAATGATGTTCGCAAAAATAAAAAAATTGTAACTCCAAAAATTTTCTTCTCCCTACTAAATGCAGTCACAACTTTTGATTCGTAGTTTTCAGGGTTTACAGGTCAGGGTTTTCAGTTGATACGTATCAGAAAACTCACTCGTTCGCTGCGCTCACTCGTTCATTTTCTGATACTACACAACTCGTGAATAAAAATCGTACGCGCGCATTTTCCATGAAGTAATCTCTATATATTCAGGAATTTTAATTATTTCTGTTTTGTATTTAATTTTCACTTGTATAGAATTTTACAGCAATAGCATTGATTTACAAGTGTCCCTTTTTTCATTCACCGTGAAAAACTCTTGAAAAATAAATCGTTTGAGTTGTATGACCGTTTTGTCCTTCGCAAAGTTTGCCGTTCAAAAATATTATTGGTAAAATGCATCAATTTTTTTTTACTTGAAACGGATATTGAATTTTTCAGAAACGTTTGTGACTTACAACTGCTCTCTTTTCTCTACCATTTTCATTGAAATATGTCCTTGGTGAGTTCTAATAGCAAAGTTGAGAAATCTCCTTGACTTTACAAAAGATTGAGTTATTTCAAGTATTATTAGAGAATATGTCCACCTTTCATGCGAAAGATTTCTCTTATAAAGAAAAATCACTCCTATCACCCGACAAGTTTGATTTAAAAGTAGAAATCTTCCCTTTTGCTCTCACAATTTGAAACAACATGAGGTGGTCATCAATTCCTATTTTTGCTGATATATACTTCCGTATACATACCCTCGTCTGACACGAAACGCCTTTTCATGAAAAGTTTGAAGATAAATTATACGCACACATGACATGTAAAGAAACCTACTGAGTTAATAGGTAAAATTTCACAGCGATGTTTGACAACCTTGTTCGTCTATAGATGACTCTCCAAGCGTTCTGTCTAGAATGTTTTTTTCACCATAATTGAAAAGCAAATTTAACTAATATTTTGGGCTTTGTCAAGGATAAGAATGGTTCCAAACATTTTCACCCCAGGAACACTAAATATAAAGATTTAGACCCATTTTGTTATGTGACAAAAAGATAGCAGTCGTACACTAGCAAACCTTAAGGCTTGCTTCTCAATCGAAAAATTTGTGGAAATTTAAGTTTTCTTGATCGTCACGAAAAGTAAACAAAAAAGAGAAAATAATTTTGTTCTAAGAACTACTGAAAACTCATCAGCTATCCAGCAGATTCCTTTTTCTCAGTCAAAGCGTTCACACTCAATACTACAAGGATATAGAGCTTTTTCGAAACTTTGTTTTCGGCGATGTATCTATTACTTAAATAAAAATAGATGCTTCACAGTAAAACTGAAAATTTAAAGAAATTGCGATACAACTTGTCCATTTAATCTCCAAAACCTTTTTTCACCAAAAAGTTTTCGTTTCTAAGATATCTAACGGGGGATGTTTGTTTTTTTTTTTTTCGTAATTTTTCAAAGCGATAGAATTGTTGACTTGAAGGAAAAAAAATATGAAATATACATACAGACACTCGCCTTTCGCGATCTTGAACGATCCTTTTGCTAGGTTTAAAGAGAATGTGATTTCATTTCAAATTACATAGGTTGTCTTCATTGTTTGATTTATTGAAAACAAAAATCTAACAACTTACCAGGCGTAGGAGCTCATTCCGTATCGAAATTACGCTTATGTTTGGTTCTACCACATAATTTGACTTACACCCGCGCAATAACAACTGTCGCAAATTTCGGTTGAGAAATCTCCCTTTTGAACTCAAAACCTGTTTATCTAGTTTTACGAAATTTCCCACCGTCATTTGCTAGAATTTTTTTATTCTTTCGGCATTAAAGTTTATTTTTTGAGTTCAAAGATATTTTTCAGGTCATATTGTAATTGAAATAATTTTTAATTTAAATTATTTCTGTTTAGTACTTAATTTTCACTTGCATATAATTTTCCAGCAACACCTTTGAAATACAATTGTCTCTTTGTAAATAAAAGCGTTCCATTTCTATTTTAAAAAAAAATATTCAACCTTAAATCTATCATATAGGCATTAATTCACCTTGAAAACTCATTTTGGAAAAGAAAATGGATTGTTTGTGGTGTTTGGTGTTCGAAAAAACGATGAGCAATATTTTGTTTTGCATCAATTTTTTTCACTTGAAAAGACTGGAATTTTTTCACAAACGTTCGTAGCTAACAATTGCCCCATTTTCTCATAGAACGTACCATTTTTCATCAAAACGTTTCCATGGTGAGTAGTGATAACAAAATTAATAACTTTACTTCAGGATACCAAAACTTGGGTTATTTTAAGCATTATTATCGCATAAAAAAAACCTATCACCCTATCACCCTATCTTTTTGCTATCACAACACTATTTTCTGCTTTTGTTGATTTGTACTACCATGTGAAACATACTGTAATCTCTCATGAAAAACTTCATGGAAAGGTTAAAGAATCATTCTAAGCGCACATGACTGTTAGGAAATCTATTGAGTCAATTGGTGAAAATTCATGAGATGGTTCATAACCTTGCCGTCTATAGACGACTCTCCAAACGTTTTTTTGTTTGTTTGTTTGTTTGTTTGTTTTTCTGTCATTCCTTTCTGTACCATGCTTGCAAAAGCAACTTAAGCTGATATTTTGGGCTTTTTTAGGAAGAAAATGGTTCCAAACGTTCCACCCTTAAGAGACACTCAATAAATAGATTTTAGGCCTACTGTAGTTTGTAAAAAAGAGAGCTGCAACCCTTGAGGGACGCTTAATCGAGAGAGTAATGGGACATACTTGTTTTCTATTGAAATTTTTCTTGCTCCTCTCGTGAAGTAAACTAAAAAGGCAAACTCGAGTACTGAAAGTCATCAGATATGCAACAATTCCTTTCCTTCACTTAAAGCATTTATTTTCAATATGACGAGTTGTCAAAAGTTTTTTTACGTTTTGACGATGTATCTGTTACTTGAAAAGATAGACACCTCACAGTGAACGTGAAAGTTTACAGATATTGTAATTTGTGCAATTAATCTTCAAAAACTAATTACGGCACGAAAGTAGATTCTTTGTTTACAGAATATATTCGAGAAGATACTATTTTCATTGAAAGATCTCCTTGGTGAGTTCCAATACCAAAGTTGAGAAATCTCCTTCTTGCTACAAAACCCTGTTTTTTAAGTATCATTAAAGAATATATAATATAAAAGAAATTGCAGTTTTACTAATTATCTCCAAAAGCTATTTATGGTTGAATGGAAAATTCATTGTTTCTACGATATTCCTTTTGATCTAAAAGTCTAGTCTGCTCGTTTAGTTTTATGAAATTTCCCTCTCTTTCATTTTGCTAAGTATCTTTTGATTTCATCGGCGCTGCAGTAAATTCCTTTGAAAAGTTTCTTAACACGAGAAAATCGACATTACGATAGCTTTGATTTTTTTTTTGGAAAAAAAATAGATGCCTCATGGTGAAACTGAAAATTTAAAGAAATAGTATTTTTTTCCAAATGATCTCCAAAAAATTTTATGGTTCAAAAAACAATAAATTCTTTGTTACCGAGGAAGTGATGAACGCATGGGAAAATTCAATTCCAAAAAGCTTAAAAGATGCTGCAAGTTTAGCGTAACACTTCTCAAAGGTAAGGCGTTTTTGTTAATACAATGAAATAAACCTGTCAAAACTGCTGGCTTCTCTTGATACTAATAATCAAAACAATTGGAACAAAATGTGCGCAGTGCTTTCTTTATTTAGAAAATTTACAACAGAATTCAAAAGCACCTAAGCAATTATACTAAAGCAATTATTCAGCCAAGGCGAAGTGAATATTGTTCAATAATCCCATGGTAGCATTCGTTGTAAATTTGGCCACGTTCTCCAAGTTACATTATCATGGATTTCTTTGAGGTACTAACCAATAACAAATTGAACAACTTACGTGTAGGTGAGGTCGTTTCTTTTTCCCAGTTTGCAGTCCTCTTTTCCAGGAACACTTTTCCTTTTCCGTGGTTCTGTTCTGCAATCCAATAAATACATTGATAATTGACATGACAAGCCAAATAAACCAACAAATCTGACACAAATAAGACAAAAAAAGAGAAAAAAGCCGCCAATTATTTGTCTATCTATTATTTGCACTGCTGGTTTTGTTGGGTCTTAATAGTCGCGATTTTATCTGGCGTCGGCTAGAAGAATAATTCGAGAAGTAATTTGTAGGAACAGGTCTGACGACAGTTCTTTTTCAGAACTACCCTTGCCCGACCATCATACTAAAATTTCTTGAAAAAAGTAAATTGTTTAGGTCGAGACGGAGTCAAGGGGCTCTTCAATGTTAACCTAAGTTGAAGCTACCCTCAAAGCTTAGCAACTTATCAGTCACAATTCATTATTTAGTTCCAAAGACTCAAAAATCATCCGAGCGTTTCAGATTCTACAAGAAAAATAGTATTTCGTGCGCAGCGTGCCCAAAGTTCCCCTTTTTCCATTAAATGAGCCCCTTTGGCGTTTGAACCACGTCTCCACAAAAGTTGTCACATGTCTAAAGCCGATTCTTTCGGAGTGGTTTAGGAATTAACCATAAAATCCCTCTCTTTTTACATTTTTGGTTTTCCTTCTCCAAACTTTTAATTCACATTTAAACTGAGTTTCCCACGAGTACAGTTTCTTAGTGGAAAAATCATGTAAATTGAAAGCTGAGAGTAACACGGTTCAAAAGTTAAGCAACAGCAAACAAGAGGTAAGAGAACGAAAAAAGAAACATTGCCATATCAACGAAACAGTTTGGAGTAGTTCAAACAATGGCAGCCTACGACGAGTGTTTTGGCGCCCTCCTCACCTATACTTAATTGTCACGATTTGCTTTGAAATGCCATTAATGCAATACAATAAAGAACTTACGTTAAGTTTCGTTCTTTTACATCACTCCGTGCATTCCACATTCCAGCTTTCCAATCTTCTTTTTCAATCTTAATTTTTATTTCCTTCTCACGACTCTGTAAATCCGATGAGTACACTGATTAAATAAAATGTCGCACACCATTTAATGACCGTCCATGCTAAGAATGGCCGAAGGGAAAGGACTCTTAGAAAAGATGCAGAGTGATCCAGCTTAATTTTCTTTCTCAAAGAGGCATTTATCGGTAGATTTTAAGCATTCATCAGTAAGTTTTATTACTCATCTCCACCTCTTTTTTTCTTTTTTTCCTTACTTTTTGTTTAAGGTAAGCAGTTTACGTGGTTAGTACGAAGGCTGGCATCTCGCTTTTCACGAATTCTAGGTACAAAATATACACCAAATATACATCGCACAAAAGTTTACGTCTAAAAAGCATGATCCATGAACGATGAGAACCAACGGCTTAATGGAAAATGTTTGCACGGTTACATATGGATGGTTTCTATCATTTACCACGTTCTAACAATTGTAGTCGTCATAGCCGTTGGGTCTCGTCGTTCATTACTTACGCCACTTAGGGTCAAAGTTTTTGTAATCGAGAGTATATTGAAGTTCATGTTTGACTTACCAATCGACAACAAGTTCGCAGTCCATAGCCCATAGGACGCCAAAATCATTTTCCTTATTATGTTTTCATTTATATTACACTTTGAAACTAGGAGTACCGAAGCACTTACCATAAATCTGAGAAGAAAAAACTGTAGTAGTCCTGATACTTACTAGTATTCAGTAAGGTAACTCGATAAACCCAGAGCACAGAGTCCCAAGGTACCGCTTAACTATGAAAAAGAGGACAAATTCAACTTAAAGACGAGATAAAATTTTGTTGAAGAAGTTCTCTCTGGCAACTTTTAAAAAGATGTGATAGAGTCGACATTTAAGACGAAGTTATAAGAAAGGTCGAAGTACAAGAATTAAACGCAACGACATAAGCAAATAACCTATCAAAGTTCTGCATATGATTCATTCTCTCACCTCGTGTAAAGTTACTGGTATTCTGCAAAAGTATACTAATATTTCCATATTTGGCTGCTGATCGCAGGAAAAGGAAACAGTCGTCTTAAAGATACTGTTAGAAACAGTTACGAGCGCAGAAACCGGCAGAATATGTCAAGGTTCTGTTCGAAGAAGCAAAACACGATAACTTCTTGAACCACATGTCACACTGACCCAAGGTGTGAGACAAACATGAATGAATAATTAATTTTTGAGACAATTTCGTCGTGCCCTTTGCTTTCTGCATAAATTGATCACAAAAAATTCAGAGAATTTCATATTTGCCCCAATAGTTCTTTGTTAGGATTACATCTGAAATAAAAAAAAACCTCATAATTCATCTATAAACTTATTTCAGTTTTCCGATTAAATTTAAGTCCACAAATATAATTTACGGCCAGACGGCTCTTTCCGGACCAGCTTTAGTTAACCTCTCCGTCAAACCCTCAGCCCTACACAAGTCAGCTTTCATTGTGATTTTCTACAAGATCGGGTTGGTGAGGCCATGCAGGTCATATCATTATGGCCGAACGAGAAAATTTTCTAGTCCGGTCCTCCCACTCAGTCAATATGTACATAGAGTCTTAGGGTAATTCAGTATTAACAACTGAGTTGACAACGTAAATTGGCCACCGTAACTGAAGAGTTTGAAAACTGACGTTTCGAGCGTTAGCCCTTCGCCAGAGCGATTGGTTGCAAAAGAAGTATGTACGATAAGTAGATGGTTGATGTTACGCTCCTGTTCGCCCCACTGCGTACCTCCCTTGTACAGGCATCTTTTTTTTTTTAGCAGAAGCGCGCACGGGGCCGCTCAGGTCATAATTACGATAATTCGGATAATCACCCAGGGAAAAGCGATTGACATATAATACCAAACTATGCGAATTTTGGGAGAAAAAGCACATTTCAAGGAACGACGTTTCGGCCTCTCCAAGGTCATTTTCAGGTTTTTGTAAAATACAAAAATTTAGCACATAAATATAATGGTTAAATACAATAAATCTTATAACAAAACATGAAATTATTTTCAACTTAAATATTTCAATTGTTGTAATTGTGCAATTTTAACATGACATAACCCTTGTTACATTCTTCTCCGGTTTTTTATAAATATTATATTTATATGCTAATTTTTCTTAATTCTAGATTCTACTAGAACTTGAAAATGACCTCCAAGAGGTCGAAACGTCGTTCCTTAACATCGCCAATCTTTATTACAAAGTCTATATCAAAGAAATTTCAAGGCTCAATCAAGCAGCTTTGTTGCGTAAAATTCGTCAGTGAAACACGAGATTAATCAACCTTTATTCATTTCCTCCTACTATGACGACAGATTACATTTCGCAAACTGATTGTTTTAAGTCAAACACTGAAAATGTATTATAACCGTATCGGTCTCTGAAAAAATGATGACTCATCCCACTGTCGCCGATTTGCAAAAATTTGGATTGCTGACTAGTCATCGGACTTGAAGCTGAAAAGATTATTTACCTCACTAATCGAAACTGAAATTTATAATTTTTTCCTCAATATTGTATTGAGGTAAAACAATTATAAATTTGAGTCAGAAATGTCAGAAATGACAGACAAGCTAGTTGAGTAGATGCCGAACGAAGATAAGTTTTCATCAAAAGAGCCGACCTTTTTGAGTGGCAGCTAAATACTAATTTATATTATTCATCGTTTTATTTTGCAGAGGAGGTGGTCAATTTTTATGATAATTTCTCAGTTATTTCGTACCGAGCGAGAAGAATTTCTTTCATAAGTATTTACTGCCAAAAATTACAACTTAAAACTAATGGAGGAATCAACCTTGAACTGCATAAATTCGACGACTTTTTCACCAACTCCTCGGGAAGAGGAGTGCTTTTCCAGAGATCCGATGCCATTGAAAATCATCCGAATTTGTGCGTATTGCATTGTGATCTTCGTCTCTTTAGTTGGTAATCTCTTGATAATTGCGGTGACGAGGAGAACAAAAATGACAAGTAGAAAATCTATCCATTATCTGATTGTGAACATGGCCATGGCAGACATATTTCTAACAGTGTACATGCCTCGGATGATAGCTCTGGCTTATGTGGGTTACGAATGGCAGATTGACAACCTGCCAGGCGAGATATTCTGCAAAATTTCAACACTGCTCAATCACGCTTGCATGACTGCATCGATTCTCACTGTTGTGGCAATCAGTTTTGATCGGTTTTTAGCTGTTATTTTCCCATTACGATCGTCACTCCTCACAATTCCAAGAACCAAGGTGATCATAATTTTCATATGGCTCACGGCTATTGCATTTCGAGTACCCATGGCATATTCAGCAAGCCTACACAACTTGAACGGAAAACCAAATTGTTACATTGTTCTAGATGAGACATTCGGTGATGGAACCAAAAAAGTCTACTACTTTCTAAATCTCTTCAGCCTTTTTGTGATACCATTCTTTATCATTTTGATTTTATACACTGCCATTTTGGTAACTCTAAAGAAACGTAAACCACCACAAGTTGACACTACTCTGAATATAAACCCATGGCAACAGCGTAAAGAGGAAACTACAAGAAGAGTCCTACAACTGGCAACAGCTGTTGTGATGGCATTTATAATTTGCTGGTTTTTGTACTTCATTCGTCTTATCTTGTTCTCCTACAACGTCGATGTTTCATGCCATATTTTATTTTTGCACCTTTTTCTCGCCCACTCTAACAGCGCCATCAATCCATGTCTTTACGTGGTATTCAGTGAGAGCTATCGACACGGAGTTAAAAATATCATCTCGCAGTATTTTCCAAAAGTTTGTTGGACAGAAAATTATGTTTTACCATCGTCCGCAGCAGTTGCAAACTCTAGAGCTACATATCAAGAAAAAGCCGACGGAAAATTTCCCCATCAACGAAATTGTAAAGGAGAGAGTACCATGATCGCAGATAGGGCAATGGAGAATTCCATTTCTGATGAAGACGCAGTGTAAAAAAACGCGATCGACGCCTGGCGCGGGAAAACGCGAGTAACCAGGTCATGATCGGTTTTCATCTTTCATCAAAACTTTGGCTCAACATATAAACGAGATAATCTCCGACAAGAAGGGAAGTTTGTCTATTGTGCATTATTCCTCTGTCTTTCATTAAAATTACCTGACAGTTCCTTGTTACTAGTTCATTCCCCTTATTGGAAAGAAGAACTGTTAGAATGAAATGTCTTGCCTAACAATGCCGACTCTCACCCGTGGCTGATTGTGAGCTGTGATTAGCTCGAAAGGAAACCTACGCTTTCAAATCAACTAATCAGATGTAAGGTTCACGCGAATGCTGACTTGGTCATGTGCCCCATTGGCCTTATGTATATCTTTGTTGTCTGCATGAATGGCTACCAATAGCAGTTAATTTTATGAATTGTTACAAATAGCAGTTCATTTTACGATCCTCAATCAGTCATAACTGCTTAATTGCAATGCGTAGTATATGCATCTCAATAGTGACCATAGGAATTTGTTGTTGCATAAAACTAGTCACTAAGCAGAGCGGGAAATGTTTTTCTGATCAGGTAGATAGGAAAAGGATACAAACGTAATTTCCCCAGATATCATTAAGCAATAGTTGCATAAAATAAACTTTGATGCGGTCATTTCATTGGTAATTCGTGTCTAAACTTGAACCAATGACTTCGATTATTCGGAGCGTCTTAAAAAAAATTGAAGTCACAGTTGGAAGTTACTGTTTTATTTTTATTGGTGAGAATTCAGTTTATCTTCGAGCTTAAAAAGAAAAGTCTATCCTTTCAACTAATGAATATTGAAAGCTTCCGAAAGGGTTTAATTTGCGTTTGAGCAGACATATTAACGGTTTTCTTAAGCTTGAACCGAAGAAAAATCATGTTTTAACAGCTTGGCATGTTTTATTTAGCTTGGGCTCTTCGCAATGAGCCTGCCAATACAACAATATAAACATTAATGCCAAGGTTGTTGAGAGCCGCTGTTTACTTTATTTCGAGCGTTTGACACTCAAAGACGATTTCAGCTGCTTTATGACTTGTATCAATGAATTGACCCACAAGAGTGACTAAAATTTAATTTCTCCTTACAATATCCCCCCTGAATCACACATCAAAGTTACGAGAGTACAGAAAACGATCATCATCTAAAAGAGCTCTTGATTGTTAGACAAATTCTCCTGGTCAGCACTTCAGGAAATTTACGGGGAACAGTATGGAGAATATGCATACTGATTTTCAGAGATAAAGGGTCAAATGTGAATTAAAGCCGACACATATTGAACATTCCCCCCGGAACTACTCGGTTTTTTCGGTATGTCAGTCATGTATTAGATATCTTTATGAGATTTGGGTATTTGTAAGTAATTGCAACAAAAGATTTCCTTCCCCTTCGGTCACGAATTCAGCGGGCAGTTTCTCCAGGAGAAACAGCTTGATGTTTTGCTCACTTAGATATATTATATAACGTAAAGAAGGGCTGAGTGAAAGAACAAAATCAAAGCCAGGAAAAATGTTGAACAAAAACCTCAGGACAAGGTCGAATTAAAGTCGTCACACTGTTTTTTTACCATCGAGGCTCGTATTCATCGCCAATTTGAGCTTTTTGTCAACATCTTGTCAAACTCAGGTACTTTTCTTCAATTTTAGGCCTTGTGCCAAACAGCGGGCGCTAATCAGTTCTTACGTAATTCAAATACTGAAAGGGAAGATGTAATTTTTTTCGTTTCGAACCGTTTGTTGATGGGCACGCTCACGCTTTCTTTTTGTCCGCATTTTCAACTTTGCTCATCGTCATTTTGTTGAGTTTTCCACAGATTCATTTTGCTTGTCGGAAACACCTTTTGCGAGGAATTCTCCTCGCTAAGAATACCACTACAAAGCGCGCAGCGAACCAGAATGCGTTTCAATCCTGTACGAAAGTTCTCGTTTAAAGCGAAGCACAAACATGGATTCACTGCACTGTTTAGATCAGCCAAAAACAATCTCAAAAATAAAACTTCACAGCCCACTTGTATTTTGTACGAAAATAAAATGAGTTGGACAAAGTAGAGCAACCAGCAGAGTACAAATGCAGCCACCACTATCAACACCATTCGAAGAACTTTCTTCTTTATCCGTGTGTCTCTTGTATGCTCTCTTCCTGCGATTTCTTCTCCGGGTGCTTTTCGTAGTTTCAGGGAAATTAAAATGGCCGAATACAGCACAACTATCAATGCTAAAGGCACAGCAAAGAGGCCAATGAGGGTAAAATTGTAATAGGTCTTTTCGGCTCCTTGGTAGAACACATCGTCTAATGACAGATGACAACTCGTTTCGCCGTTGTTGGTGTTAATAAGTTTCAGGCCATACAACATCGGCAGACGAATAACGACGGATGAGAACCATATCATTGTAATAATGATTCGACAAATTTTCTTCGTAATAATGGTCCTCAACGGCAATATCACAGCGAAAAATCGATCAAAGCTGATGGCTACCACAGTGAATATGGAAACGCAAATGGCAGTTTGATGCATGAAAACAGCGAACTTACATACCACAAGTCCCAATGTACCGTATAGCTGCCATTTATAGCTATCATGCCACACAGACAGCGAGCGAGGCATGTACAATGTTATTAAAAGGTCTGCAGTACACATGTTGACCATGAAAAAGTTAACCGTTTTCCTCAGGCGCTGTTCTTTCCATACCACGGCAATGATCGCAGAATTTCCAAGAAGAGATACTACAAGCAGCATGCAATAAGGAACGATCCTGGCCATTTTAACAGCTGTTAAATCATTCTCAAAGCAGTCCTCGTTTTGGACGCTTTCCTTCTTGGGGGTATAATTGAAGCTTTTGTTGGCCAACGACATCGCCAGGCTGGGAAAATTAAAATCAGTGAATTCCTTGCCGCACTACTGAGCTGTTGGGAAAGGTCTTACAGGTGATTAATATTTAGAGAGTCTTTCATTTCTTGGTCATAGTACTCACGAAAGGTATTTTCCACTAAAATTCCGGTTTAGGGAAAAATCCTTCCGAATGAAAATGTAAAGTGATCTTTTTCTCAATTTGTTATGAATTTAAATAATAATAGAACGATGTGTTGTTTTTTTTTTGGACACATAAAACCGCCCAGGTTGAATTAAGAACTTCAAATACACCTGCAAGACTTCCAAAGAGTATAGGATCTACCCTCGCTCAGCAGAAAATCTTAATAACAGAGTCCTTAACTTACCAATAGCAGTTTAAAGAAAAATCCGATTAGTTTTACTCCGATGTAATTGCTTAGTGTACGTTTTAGCTAAGGCGAAAACCTTCAACTAATCTGATCATGTTACGACGTCCATAAACAAACAGTTACGAGTGGGTATTTTGTAAATGCACCTTGTGTTAGGTTTGTCATCCAACGAACCAATAGTTCGCCAAGATAGTGAAGCACAGTTCAAAATAAATACAAACAGTGTCATGAAATAAAGGGAGCCGCTGATATTCGGTGCCTTAGTCTGAACTAATTATGTACTTTTAGTGGGAGCGGAAGGGAATTTTTGAATGCTTAGAAATGGTATTGACTAGTATTTTCAAGCATTCAAAAAAATCCCAGTCACTGAAACAGCGTAAATTTTTGTTGCGGCAATAATTTTTGGACTTTTGTTCAATAGAGCATTAGCACATAAATTATCGGAATACCACTCTATGATATCGTTTCTAAGGATTTTCATTTGTGAGGTTATTCGATTCGAAGTAAATATTTGTACATAGTGGAATTTTGCACAAGGTTTTGACATTAAATAACATCAAGTTTGGAACCCGTCAGAAACACCAAAACTGTCGGCTTGAATTTTTTTCATCGTTGCACCTGTCAAAACAACGACAGTCTAAGTGTAAGACTTTGTTTAATCAAATTCAAAGCGTCAATAACCAACTTTCAGCCTGTACGAAAATCGACTCAAATACATCTACTGATGTATACAAAATGGAACGCTTTCTTGGTAGGAGTAACACGATGACCTTCGCTGCTAAGAGGAAAAGAGAACTCAACTTAAGACCACTTTATCTTTGAAATTATAACCCCCTGTTGAATAATGAGTTTAATCTCATCTGCAAAAAATGAACGCTCAATTTTCATATCGCATAATTCTTCGCTAGAAAAAAAAATTCCCCTCTGTTTAAACAGGTTATAGTTCCACAAATAGATGTTTTTACAGTTGCTTTGTGTTTTGCCAAGTTTTCACGAGTTGTCTAAGCACCTTAACACCTCTAAGAGAACAAATGACGTATGTTTTGAGTTATTTTACCTTTAAAAACATCCCGTTTTTTTTTTTACAAGGGCTCTACATATGCGTTAGAAAAAAACGCGATGGCCAGAAAGGTATAATACTTGGTAATAGACGTTAGACACAAAATGGTGACAACGATTTTTTTACATTTAATAATCGTTTCACAGTTAGGTATTTACGTCTAGAAAGGGAAATACTATTGACGAAATAAAAGCCAGCAAAAAAGAGGATTATGCGCAGACAATTCTTCGTGAAAATAACTTATATCAACAAGATACCTAAGCGCACAACTAAAAAAAAATTTTTGACGAATGCGTAAAATTGTCGGATATGCACATCTATTTACATTAGGTCAGTTACAACTACAAGGCCAAACCAAGACTAAAAAGTCCTCCCTGCTTTAACTCGCCTCGGTGGGTTGCATCACAAGTTTTGTATAAGTTTTGTATTAAGTTATTTAAAAACTCCTAGCTTGACTGGTCAAGATTTTGTTGATTTACAGGTATAAAGCTAGATTTTATGAAAGTGGCGGAGATGATCTGCACATAAGCACAAAAACTTGTGGATGGTCTTCATGAAAAGAATTGCAAAAATTTTAAAGAATTCTGCACAATCTTATTCCTTTTTCACAGATCGGATTTTAGGAACATTTTAAGACAAAAATAACACTAAAATCCAAATAAAGAAAAATAATTTCTGATTTCAACTTTTTAAAAAAAGTACTTGAGACTTTCTCTTCCAAAGAATGATCGTAAATACTCACTGGCACCGCTTTAAAAGAACGCTTTCTATCGCTGACTTTAGTTCGCTACATAAATCTCTCGACAGCTTTCAAAAATTCAACGAGATTACTCATGGTTCCTTCGTCAGACGAAACTGCACTCTCGCAGGCAGTTCGAGCTTTGATTCCAAAATCTCTTGCCTGCAACGAAAATAACAAACGCTTCAGCGCGCAAAAGAACAGTCTACCGAACGATGGAAACTAAGACATTTAGTTTGGAAACTTTTAACCCTCTCAGATTGAAAACTGATTATGAATAGGGAGGGAAGTGATTCGTCGTGTCAGTAAGAAATACATTAATTGTATCGAGTATACTATGAGGACAAAATCAGACGGTATTTAACAAGGTCCGCTCGTTTCTCACGGTGTCGCCGTTCGAGCCGCAGCCTACGGCCTGCTCGCGGACTATCTTTCAGACTTTATGCACAAATCAAGTTTGTGCATGCACACGACAATTAACCACAGTCGTACGATTTAAGTTATACGGACTTACTTTTGGCATATCTCCCAAAATAAACTGTAACATGGCTGTGGTGAAATATATTTTACACATGACTGCAGGAGTTTGCACTGTCTGCTGCTCTCGCAGGTCCAATATGGCATTTACCACCTGGATAGCCTCTGCTTCTTGAGCCTCGTCTGAAAGAACGAAACATCTAAAGTTCACCTTTAATTTACCTTGCTTATAAATTTTACACAAGGAAGTCCTGACACGAGTCTCTGATAGCCTGCTAGTTGCGCAACCTTTAACTATTTGAAATCCAGCTGTAGCTAATGTTATTTTTTTCAAAACTTCTAGACATAAAAAGGGTAAATTACACAAACATAAGCCCCACCAGAGAGGCTCACTCAGACAAAAACAATTGCAATAAAAGACGCAGGTGATTGTTTCGAAGAGGTTTGGAATGGAGTTCTATGAAATGAGTGGCAAAGCCTTGAGAGCCAATTGTTCAGGAGCTCGTTTCCTTCATTCCTATTTAACGCCCTCGAAGCCGGCACGAAAAGCAAAATTTTCTCAGCTAGCGTCAAAAACATTCGAACTAAGAAAAAAATACTTCCAGTGAGACCCTCAGTAACATATTTTATCACAATTATTGTCACTTTGGATGCTGTGCTACTGAGCTATAGGAAACCGAAATTGCCCAACGAATGAAAAACAAACACAGATCTTGTAATTTAACACACATTCCACATTTTAGTACCTAAAACATCAAAATCTGTTGGTACACCAGAGTTGAAGGCTGGTCCTATCCCAGAAGGTTCTGCAGGCGTTTTGGTTCTCTGACCCACCAATTTGCCAAGGTGTTCAAACCAGATGTCTGTCACCTGGAAATAAAAATGAGCTAATGCCATTAGAATTGTGAATATGCATTCATAATAGTCTAGCACACAAGACAAGTGACAGACCAAATCATTGTAGCAAATTGCAATTTCCATGTAACTTGAAGTGAATACACTGCTAATGCAGCAGTCTTATTACTCCCTCTGGCTATAGCCTGCCAGCAGACCCTCATTATCAGTACATTACCACAAGCAGTTCTTTGCCCATTGTAAAGTATGAGGCCTAGAGCAAAGCAAGCTAGCGAGAGGTCTCAAGGGGTCTAGCAACTGCTATTATCAATGACACACCCCCAGAAAACCTCACACTGATTCATCTCAAATCTTCCTCTAGAAGAGAAACTTGCACCAAGCAGCAATACAACAAGGGCCTGTTTTCTGGCTACTATGGCTACCACCAAACAACTTCAGGCTGCAATGTCTGTGAGTTGTAAAATACAAAAGAACACTATGTATATTGGCTGATTGGCTACAAAAGCACCAATACTCTACTTTTCTCAAGCCTCATACTGCATTTATTGAATATGCCATCCTGGAAGAAGTGCTACATGTGAGACCAAAAACACTGATATGCAATACCCCTTAGTAAGTGCCCCAACAAGTAACGTGATGCTTCTGAGGAACTTAGCTTAGATTTAAATTTGGCTTAAACAGCCTTGGAAATTCCTCTTCCTCCAAAACCACATAGTTAAGTTTGACTGTTTGAAACAGTGATGGTTTCCTTCCCTTCCATTAAACTCTTAAACTAAAATCAGCAGGCAGTGAGATCAAAATTTTGCAAACATGCAAAGAGCAGGGCAAGAAGAGACAGCGGATGTAATTTTAACATTTTATATTTCTTTGTCTTTATTTTTCCAAGAAAAATAAAGAATGTTATAAAAACACTCCATGACTTGCAAAAAATGTTTGAAATGCCATGATATTGGTCTTAAATAGAGTAAATACAGTCTAACAGTTTGACAACTCCTGGACTTTTTAACTCTATACAGTCATCATGATATTGCCTTACTTGATTGTACAGAGAAAATGCTACATCCAACTTGTTCTGCCTGTAGAACACATTGGCCATGTGAAAATATCCACCAGAGGTCCTAATGTCATCTGTACCATGCACTCTAGATGAGTGATAGATCTACAAAACAATGAGTGGACATAAACATTGGAGGTTTTGTCAAAGAAAGGCCTTTAGGGTCACACTTTCTGCATGAATCAAAATTGCATGAAAAAAATTATTGTTCAAAAAATTATTTTTGTTGTTGACTTGCATTTCTAAACAAATAAGAGTTTAACTCTTTACACTATATACATATTCTCCATACTGTTCTCTATACATTTGTTAAGGTACTAACAAGGAGACTTTGTTTAACAATCAAGCACTACTTCAGTTGGTGATCATTTTCTTTATTCTCATAATCTTCATGTTCAATTCAAGAGTGATATTGTACAGAGAAATTAGATGCTAGTCCATCCTAATGCTTATCTGGTGACTTGTCAGACTGTCAGTTAAACTTACATCATCAGCTAGTTGTGAGAGAGCATCAGGGTAATTTCCCTGTGCAGCATACAGCAAACCCAAGTTCCTGAAGAGCTTTGATTTAATACTGTCTGGACATTCAGGAGTCTTAAGCACTGTCCACTGTGCCTGAGCTAAATACTCCTCTGCCTGAGATAACCGACCAAGACCTAAAAAGAAATACACATGAAGGTTTCACATCTGATCCTTCATGGGATACTTAGATTTCTCTTTTTTTCCAAGCTGATAAGAAAACAAGTAACATCTTTCTTTAATTTCACCAGTGACACTTTACCATATGTCTTATTCTATTGACTAAGCACACTATGCTTTGCAAACAATCATAACATTATTTTACCCTTAGATTTTTTATTGAGAAGAGTTGCTTTATCTCAAACTATTGAAAGAGACATTTGACTTGACTAAAAAATATTACCACAGCACTTATCAGCAAAGGTTGGAGCCTTAGAGTAACCATTGTTTGTTTAGTCCAATCATCCATGTGAGAGTAGTCTTGGAAAGAAATGACATTTCAACAACTTGAACTGTAGTCATCATTTGAGTCACTGATACCAAGCATGACTCCAATGATGACTTTTGCTCCCGTTGTCCAAACACCAGTCATTATCACAAACAATAGTTGTCTTTCAGGTCTACACAAATCTTCG